TGAAATTATATTAGAAACTAAGAGACAACTCATGGTTAAGAGAGCTTAACAAATACTGCTCTCTCATCACATACCATATCCCGGCAAACACGATCGAGACTATTTCATAGGGGGCTATCTAGCATTGCATATACCACAACAAATGATGATTAGCATATACGTAGCAACTCAGGGTATGTACATTAACTAACCTGGTACCCGGTAGCTGCCAATAACCTCAACCAACGAGCATGCTACTGAAGACAATCTTTACGTAGTCGAACAACTGGATCACGTGGTCAATCACTTCATATTCATTCCGAAATACACGACGACTAACGCATTCCACGATAAAGGAAAGCTGCTACTGTATGATGATAATAATAAGAGTTGATTATACCCTCGACTACTCCTAAAATATCATCATCACTCAGAGTAATATAATAATACTATCTAGTCGAGGAAAGATGAAGTATGATTAACCACGACTACAACTCAACTCATACTACTTATTGTGGATATTACTATCCCAACTTATGATGATGAGTACAGTAACGCTATGAATGATGATGATGATGTAGATGTCAAAGTGTGCGGATTACCATCTGCATTGACTAATAGTGAAGTTTAATAAGGAATCTATCTCTGGATATGATCTATATGTATATGGGCGGTTGAATAGTAATTATCTTATGAATAGATACTAAGGAATCAGGTTGTACAGGTTTTAGGGGATAATAAAAATAATAATAATTTAGAATACTTCCAACTTTAAAAGTTAACTATCTCGTTCTATTAACTAGGTTTCCAGATTCATAAATCTCGAGTTTCGAATTTGAACTTAGTTTTCATGTGAAAAACTTCTTTGAAGAATCGAATCTAATTTACTCTTCTCCATCCCTATAATTCCAAAACATAAATCACGATTTACCCTAACCCTAAGCCTAGCATTAGTTATTATACCGAACTCTACATGAATAATATAACACCATTAATACCACCACTGTATCAGATTATCATATTAATGCTGATCTTAGACACTGCCTCTGATACTTATCCGGGGTAATAAGTTACCCCTCCTTGACAATGATATAAATTAGGAGGTGACCAAGGAAAGTCTTATTTAGGATTACATTGTGGAGATAGTTTGTTTAAAGGTTTATAAACTACTAAGCAACGCAATGCTTATTGCCGGGCTTTACGGACCAGCAGCCGATCGCCCTCAAACGTACAATAGCCGGCTCAGATGCACCTGCGGAGACAGTGAGGCTATAACCCCGTCGACAACAGAGATATGTGGCTGCTACTACTACTACTACAACGAGAGAGAGAAAGGTAAATAGTGCAAAGAGGGGGGCCAGATATAATACCTAATTTAGGTAGTAGCTCGAGTTGAGAAAGGAGTTGAAATGATAGGGAAAGAAATATGACTACTATAAAGACGACGACATAGACCCCGGGCAGCTTGTAAAGCACAAGCTCGACAAGCGTCCAAAGAACGACGCTAGAAGAGTGTTGCCTCCTGGCGTCAGTTCAAAGGATAGGGGCGTGGTTGAAGTACCTTCGGAAAGTTTGGCCAAGATCTATCTGACGTGTTAGAAAGGTTTTTCTGATGAGCATATCGCGAGCCTCGCAATGTGCCTCGACTCCGGGAGGTTGGGGGCCTCTCCGGCCGAGTCTGTACATATACCACTCATGTGAATTTGCTTCAGAGCATGTACCTGGGCTTAGCAGCTCATTTCGGATTAGCTGCTGAGTTCGCGGCCATACTCCTATACTGGCTATCTGCCTGGTGAAAAGGAGTGCTGCTCGAGAGAAGAAAAGTAGTAGTAGTAGCAATAGTAGTAGTAGGGCCACCATAAATCCCCTTAGGTTGTTGAGTGATAGATAGCATTTACTATACGACGTAGTAGTATGTGAGCACCATCATGTTTGAACTCTATTGTCACTCTCTGAAATGTAATTGTTATTAATCTACTCAACACACTGTTTCTTGGTTTCGGAAACGGATGATAAGACTGGAAGTCTATTAGAAATAGGACGATATTGAATCTATGGGGTATGATGATAACTGCTACTAGTAGTACTACGTCTAACGATAGTAGTAGTACAGGCAAAATGTAGCTTATCATAATAATAGTAGTCATTGTTGTTTTGATGTTGTTGTGATTATAAACCTTCCTCATCAGTAGTGCTCATATTATCAACTTGAGTTTCTGACAATAGTCTTCCTCCTCCTCCTCCTTCTCCTTGTACATAGGTAACGGTACGATGGCAAAATGGCGGTATACCATATATTCCCTCTACTACGTGATATTCTCCTCCTAGCTTACCTAATATAATAATCATCAACATATATAATAATCATCAACATAATCGATATGAGTGAATATAGAAAGTGTATTATTACGGATATTCCTCGACTTGAGATGTTCCCAACCCTTAGGGTATGCCCGTCGTAGGTTGTATGCTAATCCTAGATAGTACCTAATAGTAGTAATAGTAGTAATATGTATTGTTGTTATTACTACATGATATCAATAAATACTTTAGTAGGGTTATATTGTTTAATAGCACCCATCTCAGCAGTAACATAATCCCAATCAAATGTATGATGATAATTATGCCATCCTTCACCCAATGCAATGAATGCTACTATACCATTCTCAGTAGTATGACTCTTATTATCATATGGTTTAGGTCCCCACTGATGTACTACAGAATTAACACACCATGTAGCATGTAATACGAAACAATAACGGAATACACCTGGTAATAATATACCATTTAATATTGATTCATCCCATAAATAATAACCAACAATAGCAGGAAACTAAACAAGAACAACAACAAGTTGATGATAACTATAATCATTATTATTATTACAATGAAACACCATAACATATTCCACCATGGGCATAGACCTAAATATGAATATATAGTAGTATTATTTAGTATACTACTTACGATGTTGTATAAGTAGTATATTATCCTTGTATAAATCATTTAATGATATCTTCCTACCAGCATCCAATACTCTCTTGGGTTTACGTACTAATAACCATCCAACATGAGAATAAAAGAAACCTCTTTGTGAATCATGTGGATCTTTATCAGTATCAGAATATAAATGATGTAATCTATGATCTCTTACCCAATGTATTACACTACCTTGATTAGCTATACTATTAAATATCATTAATAATACTCTTAATGGATATCTAGCCTTATATGATCTATGAGACCATAATCTATGAGCACCAGCAGTAATACCAAATCCTGATATAAACCATAATATTATAGTCCATACATAGGTTAACATATAATGTGGTCTAGTTATGGTATTATATATACTATAACAAGCTACTATATGTACCTAATAATGATGATGCTAATGATAATGGGGGACAGTTAATACCAATGATATGTATACTATCATAGGCCAATTCATACGAAGACCAACTTCTTTATCATATGACATAGGATATTATGACTGATAAAAAGAAGAAGAAGAATGATGAGATGAGCACTGAATAATGATATTAGGGCGAGCGCTTTATTCATTAGCCCGCCGCCGCCGGCCCGCTGATCCCTCCTCTGGCCGTGATGTGTTCAGGGAGTGGTACTACTGGAGTAGTATCTTATAATATATTGGTAGTAGGTGATGGTAATTTATCATATTCAAGAGGATTAGCAGAGAATATTAATGGTGTAGTTATATATGCTACTACCTATGAAGGGGAACAAGAACTAAATAATAAGTAATATTATGATAAGTATTCATAATCATCATATGTATTAATATAGGTATACTAATGATGTTATTAATGAACATAAAGTAAGGCTTATTAAATTAGGACATAAAGTATATCATAATGTTGATGCTACTGATATACATAATACATTAATAATTAATAATCATATAGAAGAGGATATACTATTTAATAGGATAATATTCGTAATAATAATAATATTATCATAGCTATGATCATAATTATGCTCTTAGATGCATCCCTTAGTGTGTGATAATGATAAGGTTAAAGCTTTATCATTATCATCAACAACCACTAACAGCAGCAGTGGTAGTCGATTGAACGTTATTAATATGTTAATGTTAACTAAATTCCTCATATCATCATCACAATATTTATCTATTAATAATGGTCAGATATGGATAACTATTAAAAATGTATATCCTTATAAATGGTGGAATATACCATTATTACCAACATATATTAATAATACTAGTCATCATCATATACTATACTATATTGGTACATTACGTAATACTCACTATCAGAGTGTATTAGATGATACTATAAAAAGGGTAACACTATTATCTGCTAATAGTCATCTTGATGATGATGATATTGGTGACCAAGCTGAACATAATGATGGTGATTATGACAGTAGTAGCTCTGTTATTGAGTACTCTCATTATTACCAACCACGTAATGTAGATCGTAATGCAGCATTCCATCTAACTTCACCTATTACATATGTAATAACAACTACTACTACTATTACTCTATGTAGTGATAATGTATTATTAATATGATGTTAGATATTCCAATTGATCCCACCACTACCACCATCATCATCATCAACATCAACAACAACACAATGCCATGAGGATACCTCGTCGTCTTCTTCTTGCTGCTGCTGCCGTTGTCGGATATGTGATATAACATGTATGAACTACATGTATGATGATGTTAGTGATATTATGATTATCATATTAGGTACCAGTATACATGATCTTAGTAAACATAAAGATAGTCGTAAACATAAACAGAGATATCAATTACATCTATCATTCATTAATGCATTACGAAAAGAAGATATAGGAAGAGAAGTAGGAGTAGGAGGAGGTACTCATGATGATGATCCTACTACTATATTAATATTATATTAATGTTACTACTACTACCACTAGTACTACTATTAGCAAGTATTCTAATATCACTCATGGTAGTGTTGTCATAGTAGTTATAATAAATACCTATTCCCTAGTATTATCCTATATACAAAAGTATATTAAATGAATAACATTATTAGTTAATATGGGAAATATAATAAGTAATGTTGTTCTTATGAAGGTCTAATGATAATACTATATAATTATTAAAGTGGGTAATGATGATAATGATGATCGTGGAATATACGATAACCTTGATATGACTATATGATATTAGGAGGTATGCTCCTCCTCATCCTACTCCTACAAGAAGGATACACTCTTCACAGCATGCTATGGCTATGATACACTACCTTGCTCCTCCTCCTCCTACTCGTCGCGTATACACTAGATCATCATGAAGCATATCTTATCAGGAGTAACACAAC